TACACGGGCTCAGCGGACGCGTCCACCTGCAGACAGCGACAGGGACAGGGACAGCTCGCAGGGTCCCGGGCCGCCGCCCACCTCACCGGTCTGCCTCGCCTTCTAGGGTCAGCGCCCGCTCCGCCTAGGCCAGGAATGCGGTGGACGAAGAGAAGGGGGAGGCGGAGGCGGAGGAGGAAATGTTCCTCGAAGTGCGCGGTGGGTGGGCGGGCCCCGCTGACTGTCCATTCACGACAGCGTGAGGACGTCTTCAAGAGCGTGGGCGGCCCTCTGGTCCCCACTGCACCCAAGGCCCCGAGAGCTCAGCCCACGGAGCCCTGGTGTCCGAACCCTTCCGGATGCGGCCTGCCTGCACTTTCCAGCTGTCGGCATCCACAGCCAGAGGGAGAGTGAAGGTGGAGGAGGGCAGTGCCTCTGCCCCGGAGGGAGCCGTGGCTGGGGTCCCCTGTCAGTCTGCACCCCACAAGGAGTTCTGATTCACAGGAGGGCAGAGTCCAGTCCCCACCGTGTTCCTCACTTCCTGCCACTCCCTGCTCCCTACCCCTCGCTGTGAACTTGGGGGAGGGCGTGGGCCTGGCCCAGGGCCCGCTCCGCCCTTCGCACCTGCCTGGCTCCTCTTCCTCCCTCAGGACTCAGCTCGGGCTGGTCTTCCCCCGTGTCCGCCCCACGAAGCCCACTGCCCTCGGCACGGATAACTGCGTGATCAGACCCCAACGGGAACGACACGGGGCCATCAAAACAGTTTCCTCCGAACACACAATGCCAAACACAAAAGCAGAGTTCAGAAGGGTAGATCAGTGGCGGTCCGATTCTGTGCGCTTAGAAATCATCCAAAATGCTAACAGGTGAGGTGGCCAGGGTGCTACAGGGGTTCTATTTGGTCTTGGTTTTTGCTGGGATTGAACTCAGGAGCCACATACCAGGCAAGTGCTCTTTTACTGAGCTGCAGCCCCAGCCAAGGGTTTGATTTTTTTCTTTAAACTTTTTGTAGCCTCTAAATTTTGTACAATAAAACTTTAAAATTTCTTAAGTTCCTCTGTGGACTGTGACACTTTCTAGGGGGAAGCATGTTTTGCTCAAGGTGGCTCTTCCTGGGCCCTCAGCAGGCACCTAAAGTCATTCATCCAAGGCTGGCCGCTCTGCTCCTTGCCAGGCAACATAGCAGAACATGAATGGACACATTCCCTTCCTACCGTGCCCACCCTTGAGCGCACGTGTGTGTAAGTGGCCGTGAGGGCGGTGTGTCCATCACTGCCTGGTAGGGAGGGAGATGCTGCCAGAGGAGAAGAGGTTGCAGATTTAGACAGAGAGGGGCCTCCCGAAGCTGCAGAGGACGGGGTCTACCAGTGCCCACCTGTCCCTTTCAGCCCTCGGCACACTCTGCCCACTTCTTCCCTGCCACCCAGAACCTCATGTGTCACGGGTATCCCCAGCACACCAGGCCCCACCCCAGCCTCCAACAGAGGCTCCTCCTACCTCCCCCAGCTGTCCCCTCATTGCTTGGCCCTTCCAAGTCCTGCTCCATGCTGGCTTTAGCTCAGAGGCCTCTCTCAGGGAGGTTTAACCTGTGGGCCAAACTGAAGACTGTTAGGACCTGTGCCATTCTGCCCTGGTGGTCAGTTCATGGATCAGACTTCTGCCCATCTGCCCAGCTCAAAGGCAGGAGTCTCCAGAGAAAGATGAAGCGCATGACAGACCTGGCCCAAACTCTGCTGTAAAACAAAGTCAGTCCCATGTCTAAGGAGCAACACACAAACCCAGATACTGCAGGAGAGAGCTCTGAGTGGGGACCTCTGAGCCACAGAACCCAGGAGACCCCTGGGAGGACAGATGGGGGCTGGGGAGAGGACCATGAAAAGCTGCCTACACCTCCTACCCGCCAGCTGGACTTAGGGGCCTGGCTCGTCCAAGGAGCCACAGGGTGGGGTGGGGAAACGGGGACTTTGTGAGGCAGGCCACTGGGTTAGGCTGTGTGGCCACCAGGAGCCTCAGGCTGGTGGGGCCAATGAGGACCGCACACAGGCATACCCGTAGGTACAGAGGCGGTTTGGAGGGAGTCGCTCAGGACCCCAAAGTGACACAGCTGTCGAAGGGCAGACAGGGGCGCAGGACCATATGGAATGGGGTCAGGGCAGAGCCCCCAAGGGAAGCACTCCATGGCCCAGACATGGAGGAACAAAAACCTCACTGGAGTCCAGAAGCAGGGTGCATGCTCTTCCTACAGAGGTGCCATGGCAGAGGTGTCCCTGCCCCAGAGACCCACGCACACCCCAGCCCAGGACTGACTGGGCAGGGGGAGAGGGACCCTGGCTGTGCAGCTCTGCAGCCCTTCTCTTCCTCACAACTGTGCTCCTCTGGTCCCCAACCCTGCTGGCCGGAGCTGCAGACCTCGGCATCCTGGTCACCCACTCAGACAGCAGGGCCTCTGAGCAGGAAAGAGGTGGAAAAGCCCAGCCTGCCAGCACCTCACAGTATCCCTCGGGCCCCTCGCACCCCCCAAGCCTCCCCCTACCTGAACCCGCAGGGCCCGGCTCTGCTTCCTGGTCAGTTTGGCAATCACGTCCACCATCCTGTCCCCTCTGAGCTGCTGGGACCAGGCCCTGGGAAAGCGCTGGGGGTGGAGCCAAGGGGCACAACCCCAGGGCTGGCACAGGGCAACTGGGAAAGAAGAAGTTGCCTGAGATGGCGGAGGTCGAGACTGCAGCATTTCCTGTCGGGGCTGCGGAAGTGCTGTGGACTGAGACGGTGGCAGTGGCAGCCTGAGCAGGGCCGGTGGGGGCCGGGTCAGGCTGCTTTTGTGCCTCCCCACCCCAGCTGCTGCGAGAGGTCCCAGGCCGAGGCCCAGGCCCAGATAAGCAGGAGCAGCCTGCACCCTGAGGGTGGCCCCCAGTCCCAGGGTGGGGGTGGGGGCCGCCCAGACAGGACAGACAGAAGGGGCTGGGCCTGGCTGGCCTGGGGCACAAGCAGGACCACGAGGGGCTGTTGCCTCCTGAGGCCCAGGGAGGATGGACAAGAAGAGGAAGCTTGTGGGGAGGCACATTTCCAAAGAGGAAGGGGTCTGAACAGATGTGTCAGGGTGCACCACCGCCTACCCGCCCACCTTCTGATTGGTCTGTGTCCTGTACACTCGATCACCAGAACACAGCTGCACCCCACGTCCACAGCCACACCCTGCCCTCCGTGAAAGCAGCAGAGGGTGGGCGCCGGCACCTCCCTCTGCCTCGTGTGCCCCTCCAAGCCCTGGGAACTGTCCTCTCTCCCTCTCCCACAGTGCTTCTTCCTCATGCCCAAGGGCCACCTGATTCCTCCTCCTTCCTGGCTCCTGCAGACTCAGGATAAAAACACAGTAAAGCCAGGCAAACTTTGGGCGGGGGGTTCATGGGGAGCTCCGGCACAGTGTGCAGCCTCTGCTGTCTGTGGTCCAGCCCAGACCCCACCTCCCCATCGGAAGCCTGGACCCCAGGGAAGGCCCAGGGTGCAGCCCTGGAGGACAGTGACCCGGGAAGCTCTGCTCCCCTCCCCCAGCCAGGGAGGTGGCAACCACAGTGGACGCTGTTCCCTCCGGCACAGCTTCACACCTCCGCGGACATGGGAGGGGCGTGGAGCACAGCCACAGCAGCCCCCACCCAAGCGGCCCCTCCATCCTCATCCGTCTTGCAAATCCTCAGGAGGGACTGGGTAGGAGCAGATGAAGTCAGAAGTCCTGCTCTCCACGTGAGAGACAAGAGAGGCCCAGGAACTGGCTTGGGGACCAGGCCTCCTTTACACACCCACCAAGGTTGCTTTGTGCCACCCAGGAAGGTGGAAAGACAAGGGCTCAATGGTGTCCCTTCTCCACTTGTGCACGCATGCGGACTGGGTCCCGTTTATACCCACCCCACCAGTGCAGGGCCACCTGGCAACTGCTGTGCCCTTGGGTGAATGCCGTACAGCCCAGGGGAGATGTGCCTGCAGAATCTTGTGATGGGACGTAACGGTTCTGAAGCTTTGATGAAAGGCAAACAGAAGGAACAGGAGACCACAGAGGGGCCTTGGGGAGACCGTGCCTCAGGCTCTCACTGGGTAATGCTGACCCTCCAGACCTCAGTCCTGTAGCTGTGTGGCCTGCTGCTGAGTTCCCACGCACTAGACATGGGAGAAAGCAGGACACACTTCTGCTTTTCTGACCTCAGGGTTTGATTGGGCCTGGCCTGGCCCTGGGTGACCCTTTGGCTTCCTTCGTGGTCTGATTCTGGGACTGGCAAGTCTGGGGTGTGGCCCTGGCACTCACACTGCCTGTGTGGAAGGAGAGTTGGCCAGGGCGCAACAGATCCCATGTCGAGGAACCACCAGGCCAGCAAGGCTGGGACTTAGGGGAAGTGCGGTCAGGGGTGGGCACCTTCTGTCCCCCAGTGTATCCACCCCTGCACCTACCATTCTCCCTCCCCAGGGCAGGGCCCATGGCCCCCTGGCCATACCCGTCTCCCCACCTGACTGGAGAGGCCTCACCTCCTTCCTGATCACCTCTGTCCCCAGGCATTTTCAGGGACTCAAGTTCTCTCCATCTGCCTTCTGCCCCCTGCCCTCCAGCGCCCCTTTCTCCGCGCCCTCCCGTCCCTTCCCCGTGGGCCAATCAAGCCTGTTTCCTCGTCTTCCTCAGACATCTGGGCCAGCTCCACCCTGACTCTCTAGCGCCCCAGACCCTGCTGCCCCAGGAGTGGGCAGCAGGCTGAGCTGACAGCCCAGCTTCACATCCAGACCCCTGGGTGTCGTCTGCGCCCACCTGGAGGCTGCTGCCCTGCAGCACGTTGGTGTCTCTCCTGACCCTGACAGAGGCGACGTCCCTGAGCGGTTGAGCCTGATGACCAGTTCCCAAGGACTGCGGTGCTAGGGGCGGAGGAACACAGCCCACCCGAAGAGGAAGGGGTGGGACTGTTCAGGAGAGATGGCAGCAGCAGCACAGAGCAGCCAGGGGCCTCTGTCTGCACGGTGGGCTGAGCTTCAGGACAGCGGGGAAGTCTGACTTGGCCTAGTCCTTCCTGCACTGGACTCAGGCTGCATCAGGTGGTGACTGTGAAGAACACTTCTTGAGATGCCAGCTGAGGTTCAGGGGTAACAGATGCTTATAATTCCTCAGCTCAATAAACTGTTGCATCTATGTAGCCAACTGCTCTTTTTTTAGTACCTGGGATCAACTCAGGATCTTGTGTTTGCGAGGCAGGGCAGTGGCACCACTGAGTTAAATCCCCACAAACTGCTCATTTTTAAAGGTAATCTTTTACTTTTCTGTATGCTTGAAAATTTTCTTTTTTTTTTTCTGGTACCAGGGATTGAACCCAGGACCTTGTGATTTTGAGGAAGGCACAGTGCCACTGAGCTAAATTCCTGGCCCAATAAAAAAAAATTTTTAAAGAGAGGGTCCTGGGGGTGCAGCTCAGTTGCACTGACCTTGTGATTTTGAGGAAGGCACAGTGCCACTGAGCTAAATTCCTGGCCCAATAAAAAAAAAATTTTTAAAGAGAGGGTCCTGGGGGTGCAGCTCAGTTGCAGAGCTCATGCCTAGTGCACAGAGCCCTGAGATCCAACCCAGCTCTGAGAAAAGTAATAATAAAAATAAAAGCCTCTCTGAAACACTGTTTACCGGTCTTCACCCCGGTTGCTGTGGAAGCAGACTCCTTTCTCTTCCTCAGGTGCAGCCCAGGGCTGGCATCCTGGGGAGGAGGTGACTCACACATGTGTCTTCTTCCCCAAAGCAGGCAGGGCCCCCAGGAGAAAGTAGGGTGGTCCTGCGTGAGACCCCATGCCCAGGAGCCCTGGGAAGCCAAGAAATGAGTGAGGCACAGCCTGCCGAGGCAGAGCAGGGAGCTCTCAGGGGCAGAGGCCACACCCTCGTCCATCCGTCCTTGTCCAGAGTAAGACCTGGCCGGAAGTCACCACCCTGGGGGACCGGCCCTGATTTTTGCCTCAGATTGCTTAGCAGCTGGACAGCTGACCATGGGGTACCGTGGTAGAGGTGGGTCTACACCTCATTCTGTTATCCACTCTGTGGATGAACCCTCTGGGCTACAGATTTAAATGTTCAAAAACGAAACCAGGAAAAACTGGCTTTCTACATGCCGAAAACTAAAATGAGACCCATATCTTTCACCATGCACTAAACTAAAATCAAAATGGATCAAAGATCTAAATATTAAAACAAAAACACTAAATCTGCTGAAAGATAGAATAGGTAGAACTTTTTTTTGGTACTGGGGTTCGAACTTAGGACCTTGCATTTGAGAGGCAGGCAGTGGAGCACAGAACTAAATCCCTGGCCCTAATCGGTAGAACTCTTGAAGACACTGGTGTAGGCAAAGATTTCATGAACAAAACCCTGATCGCACGGGAAATATCACAGTCAACAACTGGGATTGCAGCTTATTAAAAAGCTGTTGCACAGCAAAAGAAACCTCTAACAAAGTGAAGAGACAACAGAGTGGGAAAAAACTTTTTTTGCCAGCTGTTCCTCAGACAAAGGACTACTACTTAGAATATATAAAGAATTTAAAAAAATCAGACCTCTCGAATTTATAGACCCAATCCCAAAATGGGCATCTGAAATGAATAGACACTTCTCAGATGGAGCAGAAATGGCAAATACATATATGAAAAAATACTCAACATCACTGGTAATTTCAGAGATCCAAATCAAAACAATGCTGAGATTCTATCTCGCTCCAGAATGAATGCTGCTATCAAGAAATCCACCAATAAGAAATGCTGGTGGGGCTGTGGGGAAGAGGGAACCCTTCTCCACTGTTGGTGGGAGTGCAGACTGGTGCAGCCACTCTGGAAATCAGTGGAATTAGAATCAATGGAACCAGAGGCTCCATTGGACCCAGCTACTCACTCACCTTCTTGGTATCTTCCCGAGAGAATTAAAAGCATCTTACCACAGAGATATATGCACGCCATGTTTATAGCAGCACAGTGTGTAATAGTTAAATCTTGGAAACAGCCCAGAGGGCCATCAATGGATAAGTGGATAAAGAAGATGTGGAGTTTTTTTTTTTTTATACAATAGAATACTGCTCTGCCACAGAGAAGGATAAGTCTGAGACATTTCTAGCTACATGGATGTACCTTGAGACCATACTTTTAAGTGAGAAAGATTGGACACACAGGCTTAAATACCAATGAGGTGTGCATTACAGTGGCTAGCTTGATGTAAAAAATAAAAACAAAACAAAAAACTGTAACCCATTACCAGTTGGGATTTATGTGTTTATTCACAGCACTGGGGGCTGAACCTGGGGCTTTCACACTGAGCTACATCTCCTGCCTCATATTTATTTTAAGACAGGATCTTGCTAAGTTGCCCAGGCTCGGCTCAAACTTGCGATTCTCCTGCCTCAGCCTCCCAGAACGCTGGGATTGCAGGTGTGCCACCACGCCCAGCACATTACCAGTTAAAAAAAAAAAAAGTCATGACTATTAGCAGATAGATCGGCTAGTCATGCAATTACAACTTGAACAACTACTACAACAACAACAAAAAGCAACGGCTTTTTAAAGGAGATTCAAGTGAAGCAAAAAGTTCTAAAAAAAGAGACTTCTGCGGACTTGAAATACATATTGTACTAATCAAAGAAAACCATTTTCTCTTGAGATTCAAATGTGTGGTCTGGAAGGTGAAGCAG